CTCTTTCACTCTTTCTCTCAGTGTCTCTCTCTGTCTGTCTCTTTCTCTGTGTGTATCTCTCTCAGTCTCGGTCTCTCTCTCTCTCTCTCAGTCTCGGTCTCTCTCTCTCTCTCCTACTCCCCCCTCTCTCTCTGTCTCTCTCCATCTCTACGTCAATCGCATCTCATAAAGCTTTGAACCATTAGCCCTTAGACAGTTTTATGACCATGGACTTCCACCACCAGAAACAAACGCAGAAGACAGAATCTTGTGGGGAAAGGACGGGGTGAGATCTGTCCGTCTCTCAATACTCACAAATGAACTGCGTACAAAATGAAAGCACAGTATAGTATACATGTATTAATAAATAAGCCTGCATGTACATCTAATAAACTTTTTTTTTCTTTGGTAAGTGTTTTACGGCACTCGGAACTGAATAAAGTATACATGGAGTAGAAAGTGGAGACGAAAGAAGACGACAGAACATTGCTGGAGAGCAGGAAAGGAGATGGAAAGGAGACAATTTTAGAGAAGAAAAATGTCCGACGTTATCTGGATTCGAACCCGGGACCTTTGAACGAGAGGCAGAAACCTTAACCTCTAGGCCACGAGAACCCCCATCAATCTGTCCCCATGGTTTTATGCACCCTGCATAATTTAGCAAAATTTGATCATTTTTTGCATGACTTCTGATCATTTTCCTTCATCATTCTTTGTTAAAATTAAAAGAATCGCATAATTTCACATTTTTGGGGCTCAGTTTGCATAATTGCATTATATTTTTGGGAGTAAAACCACGGGGGACAGATCTATACAGTATGTGTGTTGTACTCGTAGACATGTAGAGGTGTGGGCGGAAGGGAAAAGGGGGGGGGGGGGGGGGTTCTATGAAGAATCTCGTTCCGTCAGCTGGGATGTCGTATCTCTCACTCTCACAGCCAACACTGGTCAAGACTGGCCAACACTGGTCCAGGCAGGCAGGCGGGGTCGGTCGAAATTGTGTGGATGACTTCAACAGAAAAAAGAAACGTGTGGATAAAATTAATATGAGCATGCGTCAGGACAAGGAGGAAGAACACGAGACGTTAAACAATTCGGACATGTTGGCTGGCTCTTACTCTCAACGTTTCCTCGTGCTGAACAAAGATATCAGAGGAAGGACAAGACGAGGACTGCCATGGGGGAGTAAGGGAAGGGGTGTGTGTGTGTGTGTGTGTGTGTGTGTGTGTGTAAGTAAATGTC